ACAAATTAGTTCTCAATTATTCTAAATAACCATGATAATTTTAAAAACATGCAATCTCCCAACCAATTTTCCATTATTTAAAACTATTCATTAGAAAGATTTTAAAAGTGTACCTATTTTTGATCACTCAAAAAATATAGGAAAAAAAGAGAAAAATATCAGATTAACAAATTGCTACCTACCACCATGCTCTCCAACTTTCAGAACTGCACCATGGTCTTTTTAAAATGAACCAATTATCAACACAATTTTTTAGTCTAAGAGTACATAAAGTTTTATATGTGAGTGTTACTTGCAGGATTTTCCAGGACATATCCTCATGGTATAAAAGGTAGGGCATTCCGAAAATAGAGACTCTCAACTCAAGACATAAATCCAAACATCTACAGTGTTAAGAAGGTGGAAGTTCCTCTTTGACTAATCTGTCTTTGTCTGTTGATTTCTAGCAGGTCTTTTTCTCTTACTTTTCTTTATCCCTCTTCTGTGTGTGCTGCCTCAGTTACACTTGTACCAATCTGAACATAGACCAAGTTCCTTACTTCTTTACTGAAAGTTCAACAACTTTATTAAAATTTTTATTTTTTGAATGGGCAGGACAGCACAGGCATCAAAGAGTGACATCTCTTTAAAGGAATTATCCACACCCTCTGGCTTTTTCCCAGTTCCTCCTCAGTTTTGTCCCTTCTCTCCTTTTGTAGAGAAACTTGAAGAACAAACCATTTTCTCAGGGAACATGATTATTCCCACATATTGGTGCTTGTGGGTTTTGGTTTTTTTCTATAAGCAAGTTTGTCAGAGCATCTTTTTCTGAATTAACACTCACATTGCAGGGTTTTTTCTTTTTTGTCTCAATATGTATCTTTGGTGTAACTTAAATAAAGGTCATCTCTGTTGAAACAGCCTGTCTCAACCCTGTGCCTCTTAAGATGAGCTATTCAAGTGCCATATGGCATGGTCCAAAACAGGAGAAAGCTGCAGTCTACTTTGTGATTAAATCACGCCCCTTTTTGCTTAGTCCAGTCTTGCTTCACACATTTGAATCCCTGTTATGCTGACTTGGCTTTAGATTATTATTTTCTGTTTCTAGCCATTCACTTTTTCCTTAGTGTGTGGTTTGTGCCTTAGTATTTCTCTCAGACATAGATTTTCACTGAATTTGATTTGGAGAAAACTGGAAGTTATGCATGCAAATTTTTAAAAATTTATCCAAAAATACAAAAGTTGTGAGGGGAGCTCTTCCATAGACACTGGTATTTTTCTCAATTCATGGTACCCATTATTATGTCTAAAAATGTCTTTATTATCTTCCTAATATGCAATGAATGATTATATATCTTATCATTATATACTTTAAACATAAATTTGCTATAAAGTTATATTTGAAATATCTTGTTTCAATTATATAACAATATAGAAATGTGATGCTTTAGAAATGGGATTTTATACATTCATCTAGATGTTCAGTAGGATTGGACAGAAATGCTGTGAGAACACAAGGAAATGAACTCTGAACAATGTAGCCTAAATATTACTGTTCAGAAATCTCAGGAATAAGTAAAACATGATATTGTCAAGTTGTAGGGCTGCAACATGATAACAAGTGTTTGCAGGAAGATGGTAGATTGCAACAGGAAGGGGTTGATGACCCCGAAAGTACAACAAAGGAAATAAATATGAAATACTGGGTGACTAGAAAATTCAATTCAAAATTTCAACTTTAAAAAGTAAATAGTAAAGAGCAACTTAAAAATGCTATTGATACGTATTTGGCAGGGGAGATACCATGATCACAAAGGTAGTTTTCCCAGGGCAAGGCTCATCCATTGCACTCTGGATGTGCTGACCCCTGTGATTTCCCCAAATGTGGGAAACTTGACTGCATAATTTGTGGTAGTGGGGGACTGCGTTCACACTTTCTCCTAAAGAAAAAAAATTAATTAATTAAAAAAATTAAAATGCTATTGAGAGGGAAGAATTATCAGAAATTTGTAAATTAATTTCTTTCATTTTGGTCAATTACTTAGAATAATAGCACTGATGTTTCTACTTTTCTTAATTAAAAAAAACCCATTCTACTTTTAGTGCTCATTACTTATTAGTGAGATCTTGTTTTAACTTTTCTTAAAAATTGGACATTTTTACAGTGTAGATTTTATACCAAAACTTTCTTCTTTGTACCTTTAAAGATTGTTACTTGTAATAGCTATTACATTGTTTTCTTGTGTAGCTTTTTATGCTGCTTCAATAGCTGTAAAAAACAGTAACAGATTGTTTTGGCATATGTGAGTTCATTGCCTTATCTATTTGATTCAATTTCTTTTTTTTTCTCTTTTATTATCTTAAATTACACTGTATTTCACGTTCAATTTTCTTCATTCATAGTACAAACTAATTGCCGATGTAAGGGAAAGAAGTATAGGATCCGGAACCAGGTGCATACCTAGCTCAGCCACTAATTGGGAGACTGAGGAATAAACAGGATTGGAAGTCACTTGGATGTGTAGGGATTATCTAGGTCCTAGAGCAATTGAGAACAATCATACACGCACACACAAAAGTGATACAGACTTCTCTTAGATATCTGCACCACAGTAGAATGTGGACATTTATAGGCTAAATGGTGGTGGTTGGGGTGGGGGGAGACAACTAAAGTTTTAAAGGTTCAGTTGTTAGAGGATAAGAGAAAAACTAAGAACACAGGGTAGTGTTACTGAACTCAAGTTTGGCTGCTAATCGCTCAAGAATCCAATACTAAGAGACAAGTGTTGGGTAAAAGGAAAGATAGCTTTATTAAGGAAGCTGACAGTCTTGCGGAGAAGGTGGATTTATGTCTCAACAAACCAACTCCGAACTCTTCAGGTTTTGCTCAGAGATTATATGGGGAAGAGAGGCAAAGAGCTGTGTCCTGAGGTGTAGTTTTCAAGCTATATGTGATCAGCTCATGGATATTCTTCTGATTGGTTGCTGGCGAGGTAATCAGGAGTCAGCATCAACCTTCTGGTTCCAACAGGTCTGGGGTCTATGTGCTTGTGGCAGCATACAATTAACTTCTTTCATCTAGTGGGCATTTCAGTATGTGCAAAATGGCTCAAAGTATATGGCTTAGAATATTATCTATAGCCCTTGAGGAGGAATGAAGGGTCTTTGACTTTATTTAATGGCTGAACTATTATTATTTTGTCCTATTTTACTATTTTCCTTTGTTTCTGCATTTCTCATTTCTCTGATTAAATTTATTATTTGGCTGAAGTTCTTCTGCAGACAAGAGGACATGGGGTGGGGGTGGGGGTTGTTCTGTCCCAGGAAGGCCTTATAGGATCCTGCTCAGTTACAGTAGCAAAATGAAAATGCTTTTTCAAAAGATGAGTAAAAGATGTGTTCTTTTGGCTTAACAACAAAGAGGTCTTCAGTGATCTTGGAAAGGCAGCTTCAGTGTAATAGGATGGAGTTGGGAGTGAAATGGAATGATGGAAGCCAGAGGTGAGGAAAGAGAAAACTTTTTCCTAAACATTTATTCTTTCAACAAATATTTAGCCCCTATAATATCCCAAACACTGCACACGCTTTATGCATATGATGGTAAACAATTCTCCCTACCCTTTGTAAGCTTAGGGTGTGAAACAATGTGTTTAAATGCCAATGGCAAATGTAAAAAATTAATAAACAGAAACCTCAGTTAAACAGAATTGGGAGATCAGAAGGAAGGGCTCTCACACCTTGCTGACCACAACAGGAAGAAGAAAGACTCCTTTCCTACAAAGATTCAGACAATGAAAAGCCACAGACACTTTGTTTACTAAAGCCCTCCCAGCTTCCTTTTCCCCTCTGTAATGGTTTTCTTTCTCCCTTGCTGGATGGAGACTTGCATGTCTCCTCATAGTTGCAGACCTTGAGTTGCAATGTTCCTCTGATCCCCAGTAAACCCATCTTTGCTGGAGAAATACCTGACAGTTTATTTGTTTCAGGTCAACACAAAGAAATAGAAAGAAAAGTTAAAAGCAGGTAGAGAGAAGAGAAATAATTGAGGACAGAGGTGAATTTAACATGGCCAGGATCCAGAGCCAAGATGGAGAGCTTCACTTAGGCAAGAAGAACAGTATTTCTGAGTTGGGAGAGATCAGGGTAGGAACAAGTAGAGGATCTAAGCCTTACATAGAATAGTTTTCCTCAAGTGGACAGCTGCTGAGGCTGTTATCACCGCTGGTTTATGTATGGTATACGAATACAGTAGTGGGAAAGGAAGGGAAAATGGACTAACACCAAGTGCTTCCTGCCTAAAATATAGTTTAACTATAGTTAGCCATTTCTTCCTGCAAATATTTATGTGCAGCAGATGAATCAGTTCAAAATAGCTCTGGAGATACGTAATTCTTTATTACATTACAGTTTTGCACTGAGGTGGTTTCACCTTAACGGTTAGAGGCATAAATCAAAAATTAGCAGAGGATTCATATTTAACATGTCTCATCAATTACAGCATAAAATCATAGCCATATAAAACAGTGAAGAGGTTAATCAAATCTGTCTGAAAGTAGCATTACTCATTGGTGGAATTATTTCATTGTTAACACTATATTTGAGCGCTTGCACTTAACGGGGAGAGAACTGGCGGGTAAAACAAGAGCCCTGCCGGTAGGAGCGTCCAAACTACTGAACGTAATCTCAAATCCCGCCCTGGTTTTGGAAAGGCTTCTCATTAGTTACAGGATTTAGGTATCGCTCAGCGCACCGCACCCGCCTCCCCAGCCTGAGCCTCCCGCCAGGCTGCCGAAACTGACGGGGGCGGGGCTAAGAGGAGCGGCGGGAACTCCGTGGGTGGTGAAGTTTTGCTGCCCCACGCTCCCCCTGGCGCCGCACTCTCTAAGTATTCCGTCAAATTTCGGTGGCATTTTAGCCCTAGAAAGCATCGTGCAATTGTTCTCTGGGGATGCGGAAGGGAGGGGGCATAGCCTAGTGAGCCTCTGCGCATGCGTGGGGCGGGGGTGGGTTCGCTGGCGTGCTGGCGTGCGTGTGACGTCACGGGCGCGACGGTCTCAACTCTTCCTAGTTTCTCTTTAGACGGCGGTTGAGTCAATTTCCAAGTAGGTTTGGAAGTCTTTCCATAGGTACAAGGTGAGTAGGGGCCTGAATCAGTGTTATGAGGAGACTGATTTAGCTTAGATCAAAATTTGGAGGAGTTATTGCAGAGAAACCCTTCATCCTTGTCTTTCTCGTGAGTCTGCTGTGTTGAGCATCTTTTTTTGGCGTTTTATGAGCAGCTGAGTTGAATTAATCCAGGTCCCCGCCTTAACGCCGCTCAGCTGGCTTGGAGAGGGTTGATGCGCACACACTAAAATTAATTAGCGACACTAGTGCGTGTCCCAGTCGAAAAGTTTTAGGAAAAAGATTGAATCTGCAATGCATAAGTTAAATAGGCTTTTCGGTTGCATAGGAGCTGGAGGGAGGAGACAGCAGATATATTTTGGAGCAATAAGCGTTCGATGAATAATTTGCGTACACAGTGTTAAAACTGCCAAAGGGATTAAAAAACAAAACCAAAACTTTTCAGCCCCCATTCCTTTCCCTACAATAGCTTGTACGTTTTAAAGCACAGTGATATAGGAAGTTGTTAGTGCAGTTTTCACAGATCCTTAAAGTAACTTTTAGAGATACTTCTTTAAATGCAAAACGACATAGAAAAGGGTTGGGTTTCAGTGTCTTAGGACAATGCTATACTGATCCTTGTTACAAAGTTATGGAATAATCCACCCTTCCTCCCTCTCCCCCAACAATGATGAGTAACTAACTTAAAGGAAAAGCAAAACTAAATCAAAGAAGTTTAAAGCAAATGATTGATTACAATTTGGATAAAACACTGGTATTTTTGTTTTCAGCAGTAAGCTATCTGATATGCCACTTGAATTAATAAAAGAAGTCAGTGGAGTGCCTGAAGTTGATCTTTTAAGTAAATTTCACAGAGTAGATTTCAGATCCCTACAGCCAGGTTGTGATTATAGCAAGACATATATCCAGGTAAGAATTCTCATAACTCAGAATTGTTGTCTTTTGTTTTTAGTAGTTGGATTATCATGTGCCTTGATGTGGTTTTTCTTTGAATTTCTCTTGCTTGTGGGTACTTGAGCTTCTTGGTGCCACAAGTCAATGTTTTTCATCAAATTAGAGAAGTTATTGGCTGATGTTTCTCGGATTTTTTTTCTTACTGTATTATTACTCTCTTCTTCTGAATGTCAGTTACATGTGTATTGGACTATTTGATACTGTCCTTCTGGTCTCTGAGGTACTGTTTCTTTTTCATTTCTTTTTTTTTCCCCCTGGCTCAGAGGGATTTTCAAATTGTGGAATTTCTATTGAGCCAGCTTTAAGTTCACTGAACCTTTTTTTGGTCATATCCAATATTCTGTTATTCATATTTAGTTAATTTTTAATTCTATATATCTAAGTTTGAGACTAAATTAAGAATGATGCAAAGGAGGTAGAGGGCTTATAGGTAAAACGGGTCTGATAGTTTACTTTCAAAACTCCCTACAGTTTGTAAGAGCAGCCCCACTGCATTCTCCTTTGGGGTGAGGGTAAGGCTTCTGGAATGGTTATGAAAGACAAACTTTATTAATGCCTTCCTCCCACTATGCCTCCTGATGTCTAAGGAGTTCCTTTCCTCAGGTACTGGGGGGGGTCTCTCCCTAGGTACCTGAGGTTTTTTTCTCTCTTTCCATTGTTGTGAAATCAGCATGTCCTATTCCAGTAACTAATTTCTCTTTTTTCAGTCATCCCAAAGTCTTACCCATATCGTTCGTCCAGTTGGATCAGGTGCTTTGAGTTTAGTTTGATTAATCTAATTTAATTGGGTTGCAGTTCTTTTGACGGCTTTGCATCTTGGTAGTGTGTAATTCTTTCTTACTTTTTTGTATGCTCCACAGTTTGTGGATGTAAACAGTGCATCCTGTGAAGGGCAGTGGAAACTGAGGTCAATAAGTTTTTATTCCTGGAAGTATGCAGGCCTTTATGTTAGGCCTTTAAGCGTGGTGTTTTGAGTTAAGCCGGTCAGGAGTTGAGCTAGGCTGGGGATTTGTTATTGCTATGGTTACTTCAATGTGGTACAGGTATTAAATTCCTTTGGAGTTAGTTTGTATTTAGGTTGGACAGAGGATTTTTCCCATTGTGTCCCCCACCTTTAGTTTTAGGTCTTTCCTTTGTGCTTCATCTCAGGTAAGGTTTCTTTCCCAGCTCTCGTGCTTCTGTCCCACTGTAGCCAAGGTTACTTTTTGCTAGACACTTGTTGGCCTTGTGATAAGTGGATGTTCTCTGTTGTGATTAAGCCTAAGTCTTGTCAGGTAGTGTGTCCCTGGGTCTTGAGGGGGAGGCCTTCCCACTGATCACGCCCCGTCCCTCACTGTAGGTCTGGTCCTTGCACCTGTGTACCTATTCTGCCTGTCCTTAGAAGGGGTAGAAGGTATTGTTTCTGTCTTCCCCTTTCAGCTGTAATGGGCTTTCACCAAAGTGCTAGGATTCAGAAGTTTCTTGCCCTTCTCCCAGCAGTTGAAGGACTGTTCTGAAAGAAAGATGGGGAGGAAAGCTCGAGGCGAGGTTTCCCACCTTTCGTGTAGTAACTGCCACCACCGTTGCCCCTCCTGGCCTGGAGTTGCAGGTTTGTGGAGGAGAGCTTGCAAGTGGGTGTGAATTCCCCTTGTGTTTGCAGCTCCCAGATACTCTGTTATCTTTTAGCCCATACTTGGCCTTTAATAACTCATTAAGGATGTTAGATGAATTTTTCTTACTGATATCAAGCAGCATTTGCCCTTTACCACAGGTAAGCAGGTGCTTACTGCCCTTCTCTAGTTAGTGATCTCTTCTTTCCTTAGATTTCTGGTTAATTGGTTGCTCTGTGAACTCAACTCACTTGCCTCCCATCTCTCATTGGAGGTACTGATTTCTGGTTAGTTGGATGCCTTCTGACTTCAACTCTCTGGTGGGTCAAGAAAAATTTTGAAATGTGCACATTCTACAACTTTTTGTTCTCTCCAGTTTACTGCCTCCTAGTTGAAACTATTTACCTTTATTTTTGGCTGAGTCATTATGCACTGCTGATAATCAATTTTTTTTTCCTCTGATTCCTTTCTTATAAATAAAATTGATACATGAACATAGCTGTTGTATTTTTGTTGGCTATATCAAAGTTATTGGTGTGGAGATACGTGTTATAGGATC